GGCTCCCTCTCCCAGTGCCGAGTGGCCATGCAGTCCTGACCCCCGGTTCTGTACACCCTCTACTGCCCACGTGGCAGGAAATATGGTGAACCTTCTGTTTCTGGCCATGAGTCTTAAAGAGACAGTCCACCAAACATGACATAGAGGGTGTAGAATACACATTTTGGTGACTTCTACACAGTACTAAACTACTCCTCCTATCCCTGTAACTAGGACACTCTCATCTCTTTCTTTCTCTCTTCCTTTTCATGTTACCCCTTTATCCAAAACCCACTGCTACGTGCTTATATAGTAGGTCAGGGATTAACATACTAATTTCCATGACAAGTGTGTAATTTACTAATGAAAGTTTGTGAGTTTTTGCAGACCCTCTGAGTTTTGTCATTCCTTTCAAGCACGAGCATTTACCGATCTTGGGTGCTCCCTTCCCCTTGAGGGTGGGGTAGCACACCAGGGAACTACAGACCAGTCAGTTTCACCTCAGTGCCTGTCAAAATCATGGAGCAGATCCTCCTGGAAACTGTGCTAAGGCACATGGAAATAATGAGATGATTGGTGAGAGCCAACATGACTTCACTAAAGGCAAATCATGCCTGACAAGTTTGGTGGTCTTCTACAATGGGGTTACAGCAGTGATGAATAAGGGAAGAACAACTGACTGCATCTACCTGGAATTGTGCAAAGCATTTGACACTGTCCTGCACGACATCCTTGTCTCTGAACTGGAGTGACATGGATTTGATGGATGGACCACACGGTGGACAAGGAATTGGCTGGATGGTCGCACTCAAAGAGTTGCAGTCAATGGCTCAATGTCCAGGTGGAGACCAGTGAGGAGTGGCATTCCTCGAGGGTTGGTTTTGGGACCGTCACTTTTTAACATCTTTGTCAGTGACGCGGGCAATGGGATTGAGTGCACCCTCAGCAAGTTTGCCAACAACACCAAGCTGTGTGGTGTGGTCTACACACTGGAGGGTAGGAATGCTATCCAGAGGGACCTGGACAGGCTTGAGGGTGGGCCTGGGCAAACCTCATGAAGTTCAACAAGGCCAAATGCAAGGCCCTGCACCTGGGTCAGGGCAATCCCAAGCACAAATACAGACTGGGTGGAGAATGGATTGAGAGCAGCCCTGGGGAGAAGGACTTGGGGGTGTTGGTGGACAAAAAGCTCAACATGACTCGGCAATGTGTGCTTGCAGCCCAGAAAGCCAACCATGTCCCAGGCTGCATCAAAAGAAGCATGGCCAGCAGGTCAAGGGAGGGGATTCTCCCCCTCTACTCTGCTCTTGTGAGACCCCCCCAGAGTACTGCATCCAGCTCTGGGGCCCCCAACACAAGAAAGATGTGGACCTGTTGGAATGAGTCCAGAGGAGGGCCACTAAGTTGATCAGAGGGCTGGAACACCTCTCTTATGAAGACAGGCTGAGAGAGTTTGGGTCGTTCAGCCTGGAGATGAGAAGGCTCTAGGGAGACCTTATAGCAGCCTTTCAGTGCCCAAAGGGGGCCACCAAGAAGGCTGGAGAGGCACTCTTCATAAAGGCATGTAGTGACAGGACAAGGGGAAATGGGCTTAAGCTGAAAGAGGGTCGGTTTAGATTAGATAATAGGAAGAAATTCTTTACTGTAAGGGTGGTGAGGCACTGGCACAGGTTTGCCAGAGAAGCTGGGGACTCTACATCCCTGGAGGTGTTCAAAACCAGGCTGGAAGGGGCTTAGAGCAACCCAGTCTAATGGAAGGCTCCCTGCCCGTGGCAGGGGTCTTGGAAGTAGATGATCTTTAGGATCCCTTCCAACTCAAACCATTCTATGATTTTATGATTCTCAGAAGCTGGCACAATGCTGTGTTTTGGATTCAGTATGAGAATAATGCTGAACGAACCTACTCAAATGACACATACAATATGTTGCTTTTCTCATCTTGTTCAGAAAAGAGAAGAATTAAACAGTTTGGTTTGGATCTATCCATTCACATTTCCATTCATGAAGAAAAGGCTTTTTTTGCTCTCCTTTATTTCCAGCATAACCCTTCATTTTATTTGGCTGCCTATTGGCAGTGTCCTCAGCTCAATTCAGACACAGGATTCCCAAATGGCAAGCTGGTCACATACATGTTTATATTGATTTGGTTCTGACTAGCTGCAGTGACAGCAACTTATGGTATTCAAATATTTATTTATGACTAACTTTATTCCTTTTTACCTTTCCTGTAAATCTTTCTTTAGAGCAGAATTTCCATGTCTCTGGTGGCTCATCTGTTTCTTGTTTCACTGAACTCTTTAACTGTTTGCTGTTTCTTATCAAGGCTATGGCAGGGTAAATACAGTCTAAGAGGGGGACAGAGGAAATTGAAACTTATTTTCTGTTTATTTACATTCATTTCATTCAAGACCAGCATCAGGGCATTCATAGAGTTTGATCAGGATAGAAGTGGTGTAAAGGGGAGGAGAAACGCCTCCCCTAGATCCATGTTAAGGCTGTGCTGGCAGTGCTTTGGTTGTGAGGTCAGGGCAACTCATTGATCATTCTCCTGAACTTTCTTCAGAAGATCTCACAAAATCCTGGTTTCTGTCTGTCCTGTTTCTAGTTCTAGCGATAATCTTTGAGTGACATGTTTAAAATTCATCTCCACCTAAATACCGATTGAGAAGTACTATTTTTGATGCAGGCAGGAAAAACACTAGTGAAACATCTGAGTTTGGCTGTTAAATAGCACGATCTCACTTTGTTCCTTCACTGTCCACATCCTCTTGAAGGGGAAGGCAAAGATTTATTCTTTTAAAAATTATTCTTTCAGCAATGAGACAATTCAGTGTGATTTTCTTCTTGCCGCTGTTTCAGTGAGGCAGAACTGTCCTGTCAGCAGTGTCAGAGTGATCATGCTGTCTCTGGTGTGGATGGTATCAAGTGTGGTCCTGGGCTGAAGTGCCAGTTTCACACTGAGGAGGATGACTTTGGTGATGAATTTGGTATCTACAAAGGTAACAATATTCGCTTTGCATGCACCCACTGTGGCAATTTGACAGCAACCTACATATAGAGCTTGCCTCCTGCTTGAAAGGTCTAAAATTGGATTTTTCCAGCTCAGCCCTTAGGCAAGAAGAAAATGACAAATACCTGCTGGTATTAAAAGGTGTAACATGTAGGCAGGACAGGGTTATTAATGTGAGAATGTTGTTTAGACTTAGGAACATGTGTGAGGAAATACAGATGGGATGTGCTTGAAGATAAGATTTTTGTTTGGGACTGGGAGACCCAGGCACAAGTCCTGATCATTCCATTGATTTGGTGAGTGGTTTTCTATAAATTGTAAAAACTAATCCTGAAAATCAGACCTTGTCATGGGGTCCCTGTCCCTGCTGCACTCTCCCTGGGGTGAGGTTCCCTCAGGCACTGCCGACTGCCTGCCCAGGGACCAGGTGCTCTGTCTGGGGGATGGAGATAACAGCATTGCCCAGGTGCCTGGGGATGTTTTGGTCTTGAATTCATTCCTGCCTTTGAGACATCTACCCTAGGTATGTGGTCAGAGGAGGGAGAGCTCCTCCCGTCTGAAAGATGGGAATAACAGAACAGGAGCTGACTAAGATGAATAGCCAGCCACTGCTCTCAGCTTATACCAGGTATGTTGCATGCTGATTTCTTTAGTCATAGAGTATAATGGCATGTTTAATTTAAAAGCTATCCTCATTTCATACAAAAAGGACAATCTTTTAAAGGAGAGGAGGTATTAAATTACTCAGAAGTAGGATGAAAGTTTTTAAAGGAAATAATTTTTAAAAAGGCTTTGCAAAGTATGAATGCAGCGAGTTTTGCTGTGATCGTGTACCACTTCAGTAAGTAGATACAGATATACCTTTGAATAACTTCCTAAAAACACTGATGTCTTGACAGTTAAATATTAGGAGTATTAATAGCCTTAGTTAAAGGACTGACTTAGGACCAAAAATCATTCAGGCTGACTCACATAGAGCACACACTTATTTACTTTGGTATTTCAAATCAAATTCATGTGCATGCCTAAGGGTGAAACCAAAAATATTGGTTTTATTTCTAAATACTAGAATTTATACATAAGGTTCATATCTTTGGTGCAGATAACATAAAAGTATTTTACTGAGATAGTTGACTGATCTTCAGTTTATTAAAAATACCACAGTACAACATACCACCCATAAGTCTGTCCTGGTTCAAGCCAGGACAGGGTTAATTTTAACAGTAGCCAGGAGGGGGCATGGTTAGGACCCAGAGGTTATTCTATACCACCTCACATCATTGGTGCGGGGAAGGGAGTCTTTTCCGGTTGGGATAGCATGGTTGTGGTTGGGTCGGGTTGGGCTCCGTGATGAGCATTTTGCACGTGAATCAATCTCTATCTTTTGTATGCTTTTGTTATAAATATTGTTGCTGCTAGTTTTCTTATCCCATTGCTGTTTCCAGTAAATTATACTTATCTCAACCCATGATCTTTACCTTTTGTACCTCCAAATCTCCTCTCCAGCCCACTGCAGGGGGAGGGGGAGAGGAGAGAGCGAGCAGCACATGATTTGGAGAGTCTCAGTGGGAGCACTAAATTGGGGAGTACCATTCCTAAACCACAACAGCCTTTATTTGGCATCCAATGTGGGGCACAAAGGGTTGAGATAACAACATATCTGACCAGAGTGGTTTGGAAACAAATTTGATCTAAGCATTTGTGTACAGAACCACTGGTCACAATGTTACTTTGTCTGTTCACATGGTTGTGGTACCTAACCCCGGTGAGCTGCAAGATATGCAAAAAAATTTCAGTTGCCAGACAGATGAGCTCCTGGTGTCCTGGTTGCTCTGATGCTGGGATATCATGTCCCAAGATATGAAACTAGATGGTAGTGAAGGCAAGCAACTGGGATCCCTGTCCTGGGATGTGGGCATTGACAAGGGGATTGGGAAGACGACAGAAACTCTGAACCACTGGAGGTGACTCCTTGTCAAGCATGAGGGAAAGGTATCTTTTCAAGGATGATCTATTAGTGCACCAAGACAAGTGGAACAACATGGAGAAAGGTATCCAGTACCTGAGAGAATTAGCTGTGCTGGAGGTACTCTATAAGGATACAAAGAACGAGCAGTCCCCTGTTGTGGGGAATATGCAGGCCGAAGGCCTGGAAAGAACCAGACCTTAGCAGCAGGTTTCAGGTCAAGCAGAGTACAGAGCAACTCATCACAGGAATGAGTTGCAACCTTGAAAGCCTCAATACGCCATAAATGGTGCCCCATAGTGAGGCTTAAAAGAAACTAGCTGTTTTCTCTAGTGGTGTAGCCCAGTTGAACTCAAGGAAGAAAAACACTGAAAGGAAGCAACAAAAGAGAGCTCTCAATTACCTTTCGCTGGATGAAAAAGTAAGCAGCTGAGGACAAAATGGGAACCCCTTTAACAAAACAGCAAAAGGCTGTTTCACAAGCCTTTGCTAATATCCTTAAAGAATACAGGAGGACGGTAGAGGAAGAAGATTTAGAACGCCTCCTGTTGTGAACATCAAAAGCTGATCCCATGATAAACACTAGCTCAATATATGATCCGAAAGTTTGGGATGATATAGGTTATAAACTTTGGGACAGTGCCATGTTAGGCGATAAAACGGCTACCTCTCTATTAACATCATGGAGAGTAGTCTTTGAGACTCTGCAAGCTCATGCCAGCTCTGGAGAGGAGCGTGCAGAAACGACAGCTGATTTTGAGCTGCCATCACAGCTGGCGCCAATGCCTTCTGTGCCGCCATCACCCCTTGTCCCCCTGTTGCTAATGCCTTCTGCATTGCTCCCGCTGACGCCTTCCATACTGCTGTTGCCGCTGCCATTCACGGATTCCACTGCGCGACCAAAAACAAAGCCCTCACTACTGCTCTGCGAACCTCGCTCACACGGTACTGCCACTACAGCGTATGTGGTTTCTCCGTCGGAGGACTCCGATGAGGATCCAGAATTTACAGATACAGAAAAAGATTCAAACTTATATTCCCCTGACTATCGGGACACGTGGGCGTGGGTGAGGGGGGAAGCAAAATGCGTGGGGGATGCAGCAATTTTAAAAGTTTTTTCAGTTCTGGTTTCGCCTGACCAGAATCCACGCTGGGAGGGTTTGTCGTATGCCCTTATTAAAGATGTTAGGCGAATGGTAACAGACCATGATTGGGGGCTCTGTACCAAGTGTTTACCCATCACGATTTTAAGATGCTGTTTTGCTTACATGCTTCTAATGTGGTGCAAGCCCAGACATGTCCCGCCAGGCTGCAGCAAATAAAACAAATAGCCCTGCGTGCCTTTAAATCCGTTCCGGACGCAGGCAGCTAGAGACTGCCTTTTACCCATATTAAACAAGAGGCACAGGGATAAAAACAGAAATATCGGGCATTGTTGACAGTGGAGCAGATGTGACCATCATCTCTGCATCACAATGGCCCAAACAATGGCCCTTACTGAACACTCATGTTTGTTTAGCAGGCATTGCTGGACTGACCTCCCTGAAGCAGAGCAAGGACCTTGTGGTCATTCGTGGCCCAGACAATGTCTGCCTCCATAAGACATGTCCTACCGGGATCACCGACTTTGTGGGGGAGGGGGACTGCTTGAGTCCCAACAACCAGCCCATGGAACACTCCTGTGTGTGTAATTCAAAAGAAAAACAACTCATGGAGGCTGTTACATGATTTAA